ACGATGTATTTGCGGAGTAATAATATTATAAACTACCCCCATTTCATTCCATGGGTGGCGTAAGAGGCGACAGAGGGAAACAAATCAGGAGATGGGCAGCAGCGACTTCCTAATGACGACCAAAAATAAAAAAAACTGCGGTTGCCAACCCGCTTGCCAAGTGTGGCAACTATTGCAAATAGTGGCAATCAAAAATTACCTTTAATAGATTGTCAAAAAAATTGTCTGGCAACTCAAGACGACTTAAAGATAGAAGTCATTTCAAAACTTATGTCATGAATTTCTGAACTACAGAACAATTTGTAAATGAAACTTAATCTTTTTATTGTTATAGAAACCAGACATTAATCTTTCATTTTACTCAGTAGCTTCTTTACTTGTAATTTTCGGATCAGTTATACGTTATAAATCAATTGTTTCCAGTCCACAAGTCATGACAGTTTTAAACTAATAATAAAATTCAATCAATTACTTTAGTAAACTACTACAGAGTTCAACATTACACAGTGGTAGCCATCATCCAGTATTAACCCCATAACATAGCCTTCAATGTTTAACAGATATTGGACTCTATTATGTATGCAATAAAAAATATTTTGTGAGACAATTTTGTGTAGAACTCTCTAAAGAAATTGTAACCTTATATCAATTACATAAGATTTGGATGGTTGGTGTGACGGCGCCGGCGTTTATCGCAATGAGCGGGAATACTAGTGATGTGAGTGGCATTGGTACGGTTTAGACCGAATTCAAACAAAAATTTAATTTAGAAATAAAATATAAGTGGTAATAGTCGAAGTTTTGATGTCAAAAATTATTTAATAATAAGCTAAGCCGGTGACTGACCTTACTTATTTTTTATTATATCTTAATAATATTGTGAAAATAGATTCCATGTTTCATAAATTATATTTTAGACTGATCGTCGTGGATTCGTTCGTGAATCTTTAGCAGTCTTGTAAAATTAAATCTAATTTTCTTGTATGGTTTTCACAATAAGCTCAAATCCTTAATATTGCTAAATTAAATTTAGAGAGTATTCAAAATGTTTCTAATGAGCCTAATGTTTGGTTTACTATTACGGGACGTTCTGCAAAGCATAAAATGCACGAAATAAACTATAATAAACAAAGTATTTGTCAAAAACATACGAACGACTTAAGAGAAAAAAATAAAGTTACAGCCTATATACCTCCCACTGATGGTCAAAGGTTTACTCACATATTTGAGAGGGTATATAACATTTAACATAAAATTATTCATTTTTTTGTTTACAAGTTGTATTAAGTTTTGAAAACAGAACAAGTTTTATAACAATTATTTAGTATAAAAATTAAAAATATTATATTAAAAAATAATGGGTTTTATGTATTTAAACAGTTAATGATAACGGATGTTTCTGGTATGTATGGAATTGTCAGAGGAAACCAAAAAGATCTTATGTACATCACTAAAGCCGTCCTTGCGGGGTGTCACGTCATTGCGATGGTAATCGATCTTCGATCTGAAACGGCGTGCGAGATGACCCTTGAAAATTGGCCTGCATTTGAATTCAGTTATCTACTTATTTCTGGGAATGAGTAGCTGTTTATTCGACGATTCAGTATTAGTATTGTTCGGGATTATTTTTAATCGTGTCTTAATGTTTACTGGAGTTAATTGTATAATGTATTTTTGTACTTAGAATGTATAATGTACATTTGTACCTCAAAAATTATGTGCAAGAAATTAATAAATGGATTTATTAAATAATGTATTAAATGGATTATACAGTAAATTTTTGAGACACGTAGCGCCATCTATATCATACGCGTGACATTACGACAACAACCACCAACAAGCGTTACTCAAAGCCACGCGTCTGCGGTCACAGCTGCATCAATTTAAATATGGATATCGTTCAAATTTACTGACACTTTTAGCGAAAATTTTAAAATAACGACGCAATAAATTCGAGTTTATGATAATTGTGTCTCTTCACATTCACACTATATCAACGTTGTAGAGCCAATCATTTAATAACAAAATCGCCGTGATTGAGATAAATTGAATAAATGGAAACACATAAAACATAATACTAACTTTATATTTGGCATAGTACCAAATACGTAATGGTTTCTGGATGTTTTGTATTTCGTAACACTAAATAAATTTATTAAACTTTCTATGTTTATAACACAACATAATCATAAAATAAAACGAGCGTAAACTTAAAAATATAAACGAAATCATCGTAAATTTTCAGGCAGGTATGGTATGTGTACCGTAGAGTCCCACCCAATCCATCCATTGCAACATATAAAATCCACTACTAACATAGGCCTCCCCAATAGATTACCTCGCAGGAATTTTACCACAGTTGCCACGCTAAGCGGGTTGGTAGTTGCACATTTTTCATAATTTTGAGTTAATATCAGGAAGATGCTGCTGCCCATCTCCTGTTGCGGTATTTGGAGGCCTATGTGTAGCAGTGGACTTGTGATGGTATGTAGTAATATTATAGTATAGTATGTGAGGGTAATATGGTCATCCGGTTAATATGGACACTTTTTTATAACTCAAACATTACAGCCTTGTTTGTTTGCATAGATACGACAGCTCTTCACATAGAATAATACACAATAGAATGACTGTCAACCTTATTTTGTACGAGGGTCGCACATATAAGCAATTCGTCGCAAAGTCGTATTATCACGACTACAAACCCGATTCGCTGTGTTGATAGACGGTAAATTTAAACATTTTAAACTTTTGATTAATGTTCATGATTATCATTAAAAAAATCGTTTAAATTTTTATACATATTTATTCGTAAATAGTGTGCAATTTGGCATTTTCTAAATAATTTGGAAACGATTGTAACGTCAAAACACATCTCGTGTTGACAGTTATACGTGTAAATTGACATGTTAGTGACATTTTAGTGGCTACACGGGCTCCGCCCACTCCCCCGTTCTATTATGTATGCATTATAGTATTCTATGGCTCTTCATCAGTCAATCAAATAAAGGGTTAAAAGAGCGCTGCTTCATCGACGCCATTTTGACAGTTGACATTATAGTAAATATTTTATTCGATTTTAGTATGGTGTAGTGTAGTTAGTTTTATTTAAGTTGATTTTTTGAAGTGTTCCTACGTATTGCCAAAGCTTGTTCGGTATTTTTTTCTTAAAATATTAGTTACAGTAAGTATACGATTTTGTGTTTTTATCTCTGTCCACCTCCTAGTTTTGGTTTTATAAGACAGCAAAGCTTATGGTAACCATATTACCCTCACGAACCTTAGTAGCAGTATACAAACAACATGATAATCATTGCAAGATAATTTAATCGTTATTAACTTTGACATTGTACCACGAGTAGGCACTATCACTATCGCTACATTTTACCGCAACTTTTTCTTATTCGACAAACTTAATTTTGCAACCGATGAAAGGGCTTTCAACGCAAAAACAAAAGTATATAATGTTGATGGCAGGTAAAAGTACTTTGATATTCAGGCTTCGGTCGAATGAATGCTAAGAGGTACCGCATTCTCTCTCCGTCCGGTCGCCTCTTTTTCATTTCCTACCCAACGAGTTGGCTCGTGACGTCACGTACATATCCACTTTTACCAACATTTAATTTTCCTTTGTTTTTGAACAAGTCGTTATGAAAATCGTCTTAATAGAGAATAGTATAGTGAGTTTTATAAACACGAAAACTAACTTTTGGTGAAAAGTAGAAGCTGATTTAAAAGATTTAAAAAAACTAAATAATATATAATTTTACATTTTGGAGTCCATACCACAACAATTTATTGAAGAATTAAAGCTAAAGCCAAAGAAAATTTAGAATGTCTCAGAATAATTTTATTAATCTTTATTCGGCTTTTAACTTTCATTAAAAGTTAATTTTTACTTTATTTTTTCATGAAGATTTTTAATAAAGTTCTAGTGAGTAAGGTACGAACTTCTACCTTAAAATTCCAGAGTTCTAATGTTATATACCATCAACATTTTACCTAGAGTAATAAATGTATAGTAAAACTTTAGCTTTAATAGCACTTATTCCTCGTACTTACTAAGTTTTTTGGTTTAAGTTCATTCTATGCAATACCTAAACATTTTGGTATAGAATGTCTTTGTATATTTTATTACTTTAATACCCAAAGCTCAGTTAGATTGAGAATATTTTTCCTTTAAAAATAATGTTGGCAGTATCCAATTCGTTATCTTTGCCTAAAATTTTATCGTTTGGTTTACACAGCTTATCTAATCGCTTTACGATAAGTGGCGGGTTGAAAATGGTTGAAAACGATTCTTCACACTTAAAAAGTTATTTGAAATTTTCAAAAAAAAAAACTTTAACGATATCCTAAGTTATCATCACTTTAATTAGAGGCAGTTTCAAAATTAGTCGTGGATATGCAAATTGTGAATATAGATATGTCTGTGTAACTAAATATGGAGTAAATCTAAATACCACGATTTGTATGTAGATATAAAAAAATACTAGTATTCCGATTACGGCAGTCAGAATTTACACTTGAAAGGAAATACTATATTATTCACGTTTGCTTTAGAACAAGTGATATGATTTGTACTTCATTTACCATTGTTGATTGGAGGATCTAAATTAAAACATTATTTTGACAAATTGTTTTTTATTTAAAGATGTGTAAGTTTATGACCGGAAATCTAAAATATCATCTTTCACATAATTTTATGTAATTTTATAAAATTTTAATATAAATGGATTTCCGAAGTAAAGTCTGATTCGATTTTATCTGAATTTGCCTTAAGTTGTTTGCGGTGACTACTGTCTTCACCTTTGAAATATATTGGGCAATTCAAATATAATTACAATTAAGTTTCATTTACCTTCGATCAAAATGTTAGGGTTCATACATTTAAACTGAGCTCTATGACGAACCTCAAAGATATTTCATAATATGATCCAGTATAAATAAAATATCCACCGCATATAATGGATCGAACGGTATCACAAACTGTGATACTTATGTCAATAGTGTATGCAGAAGAACAGGTGCAGGAGGGTATCGGTTTACCCTTTACGGTAAGGGCTGTCCGCTTCCGGCTACGTTCAGTTACGCGCACGCATTGCAACGTGCGCACGCGCCATGGCTGTTCCCGTGCCAGCTCCGAGATTGCGTTTGGAGTTTCATCCACGCAACATACACGTGAGTCCAAAATTTCGTCACTCAGCATAGTGTTTCCTTGCATTCTGTAGGATTGCGTAATAAAACTTTTTCGAGGTCTTGCATTTGTGAATTTATGCTAAGAATTTTTATGCGCCGTGTCCATAGAGGATGCTTAGAAGGATGTCATTTATTGCGTGTGTATTTTGTTCGTATTATTTTATTCGCGTTAAATGTGAACAGCGAATAAAAAATAGGCTGTCAATTACGGCAATCAGATTAATGTTTCGACATTTTGACGAAGAATTTCCTGTATTGCACGAAGGCCTAATTTGTCTAATCGTATTTAAAGTTTTACTTTTTGGTTTGTTTATTGTATTATTTATAATTTAATGAACTGAGTAACTTAGCTGACAAAAGGATCATTATTTTATTATAAAAGGAATTCATAGCATTCAACATATAAACAAATTAAAAATTACAAACGGATAAGCTCGATTTAATAATTAAAAAATCAATCAAATCATCAATCATAAAATTACAAAGGGTACATAATTTATAGCAGACTGAATAAAAATATAAAATATGTTTTAATATAAAAGTGAAACATTTGGGCTATTTTAGTCATACACCTTTAATTTTTTATCTGCTTAAGTTGTATTTGATACTATTAATAACTTTTATCCCATGATTAAAGATCAGCCCATATAATGTCTTATCTTAATTAATATTAAAATACAGTTTATATGTACTCGTATTCCGTACGAATAGAATGTACGAGTAAATGCTTCGTTATTTGGGCACTTAATTAATAATGATTTGACACGCTTCTCTCAATATTATAAATTTAAAACACATTAATCAGATGTCTACCTTGTCTTGTCTCTAACTAAATCTAAGAATTCTGTTTGTTAATTATTAATCTACATAATATAACTTACCGGAAATCGCATTGCTATGGACTGGATACTGTTTTTTTTATAAACTAGGCGGTATGCATGATCGATTTGTGTTTAATCTTTGTGTTTAATTTCGTAATCAATTAAACATTAATTCAAATAACATTTGGTCTCGGTCAATTAAATTACCCTTACCGTAATGATTATGAGCCGTGACTAGTTTCAAACAGGCGACATGTTCCGGTATATCCCTGGACACATCCGCGTAACCACAAAGGCACTCGCTCTCACCCCTCTTGACCCAATGAAGCGTAAAGCCGGATTCCACAAATTGGCATGAGTTGTACGTTCTTTATCGTATGATTTTAACAGATTTAGAATTAGTTACACCAATTTGGATCAGTCGTCAGTAACCTTATGATTGTGGGTTGTTTAAGTACTGCTGTTTAAATGCGGTCGTAAATACTCTCCACCGATCCGTCTTTACTATTAAGAAATATCTAACTACAATGAAAACACTACTTTAATTGTTTATACATGTACGTATGTACATGTAATATAATCAATAAAGAATAATTTTTAAAGAAAATTTGTTTCGTGTAGGTAATAGGAATAGTATGAATGATCTGAGAACGGGAGAGTCAATTCAGAATTTTTGTCTGGTGAAAATATCTGTTTATATGTGCGGAATTCATACAAAAAAGTACTGAAATGGGTACTTTTAGTTGTATCTTTACAATTTATTATAAAATTTAGCATTTGTTTATGGATAAACACAGTATAACCTCTTTTTAATCTTGTTTATTTCGCCAACTCTACATAGAGTTACCTGTATATACGAAAACAAATATATATCTTATTATAAAATGCACTAGCTTCACGCCAGAAGTACTGGAGCTATTACAATAGTTTTAAATAAAGTTTTGCATTTATGTATGTAAAGATAAAGCCTATACAATAGTTTTTATTTACGTTTATTCTAAACTCTTCACGGAGTTACTTTTACATACCGTTACCGTTACATTCTATACAAGTCCACTGCTAAACATAGGCCTTCCCCATAAATCGCCTCAAAGGGGTATATTTACCATACTTTCCACACTTGGCGAGCGGGTTGGCAACTACGTTTTTTTTTTAGTTTTAGTCGTTATTAAGTAGTCGCTGCTGCCCATCTCCAGATTCGTTTCCTTCTGTCGCCTTTTATTTACATCCACGGGATCCAGGGGGTATTCTAACACCGTCACTACATACTACTCTCATTACGAATATAAAAATATCTGTTCGGAATTTAATAGAATACATATTATTTTTATTTGCAAAGAATCCTTGTACATTTTGCTTTAATACAGCTTGCAAATTTAGTTTACTTTTTAATATTTTCTTCATCGATGAAGTTTTAATTAACTCTTGTAGACATCTAGTTCTGATATTGTGATCTCATATTTTGTACTTCGTATTCTAGTTTCATTCAAGGTATCAAATATACGTTTTTTCCTTTTATTTGTGCGACCTTAATGCCAAATATACTGGACCTAATAAGTTGAATTTTTACAATAATTATGTCAAATAAATATTTGCTTTGTGTTTAGATAAAATCTTCAACGGTTACTAATGACGTTTATTTCGTGGACTCTATATATACCTTTACATATGAAGACAAAAACGTCAGTATATATATTAAATGTTATATAAGTGGTAGAGTCGGTAGTACGAGTAGTGCAGTGATAATGGGTCGGCTTGGCCAGGACTAGACCACGTTTGCACAGAGTACCAGTATGAAGTACATAGCAGAGTTATGTTGTTGTGTTTCGTATGGTTTAAAGCATCTACAGTTTATGAAGTGACAGGGCTTTTTACTAGAAACGAGGCATTCCATCTTAGTCCTCAGGGGTGACAACGTATCTGCATTTTGATTTTTAATTAATTAAGATGTCTATGGGTCATTTTCACCATTTAAAATATCCCACATTTGAGCTATATTGAATGTGTTCATTTATTTCTAGTGTTTCTAATAAATAAAATTCATATAATTTGTTGTGAAAATTTATCATTGTGTTGTGTTCGTTGTCTATTGACGTAAAAAAAGGCCCATTCTCAGGCCCATTTGACAATAATAAGTGATTGTTCACAAATGGGAATGTATATTTCACGATACTCCAAGAATATGTCACTTGGCATACATCACAGAAGATTTGTCCATATTCTCCACACTTGACACGGATGTCTTTTTTATAGTATAAAGGTGATAAATGAGCACATAGTCCACCTGATGGTAAGCGGATGCTGTGGCCCATAGACGTGGCCCATGGAACGCTTGCCATAAATTTCAAAGTACACTTGCTACATACTCGGTGGTATAAAAAAACACTATGAGGCAATTAGCATGCGTGAGAATTGAAAAATAAAATAAAAAATATTTCGAAGACACTTGGAGTCTGCAAACACGTACCTATTATACGCAGCACGACGGCACCTCCTTGACCTAAAACCCTAAATGCCCTTACCCTTTATACATCCCACTTAGCTGACTTAACTTTTTAACTAAAACCATTGCATTTGGTTCACAAAAAAAATAAATAAATAATATAAATGGAAAGAATACAGATGCATGTATTTCTTCACCGATACTTTCATCTATAAATGTTGTTTAAACAAAACAAAAGTGAAAAATTTCAATCGAATTAAAGGATGCTCTGCTTTCCTGCGTCCACTTCCTCGTGTTTAATCATTTAATATAACAGGAAATTACGGTGATAGCGTTCAAAGCTCCGGATGGCTGAAAATATCAATCTGTGACCGTCGGAACAAGCGCTGACGTGTTTCCATTTTTTTGTTACAGTTAAAGTAGAGTCAATTATTTTTAATAACTTGGTTAATTTCAGGAATTTCTTGAAAAAGACTTTTTCTTTTTTTTTTCAGTCTACTGCCGAACATACATAGGTCTCCCATACGTAATGCCACAAACCATGGTCTGATCCACCTGCATATTAAGTTGATTTGTATTTTAAAAAAAATGGGAAGGTTTATTGGTTTATATTGTAAATCTCAAGTGCGTATGTGATAATGTCGAAGGCAGATTTAGTTTTGTTATACATTTGCTACGCAGGAAAAAAATTGCTTTAAGAAAATTTCTCTCTTTTTTGTCTAAATGGAGTTTATTTTGTTACTTTTTGTGCCCGTGATAAAATAAAAACGCTAATTCTTTATTGTTTTGACAATGTTCGCCATATTCACTTGCATTAACGGTAATATCAACGCTCGCGTCGAGTCGTCGCGTGCAGTACATGATTGCGGTACAGGTCTTACATATAACAACACATATAAATTTAATTTGCCAGACAAATTGAGCACGGATTGAAATCAATTAACCCGAATGGAGTTTGTTTGTCCACAAACATTCCTGAGCTGTCTTATCGCGGCTGTGCTATATTAGAGAGTTATCAGTTGAGCTGTATTAGGAATGTTGTTTGGTATACTCTTTATTTATTTTCTTACGAGCTAGATTGTTTGGATTTGCGGTATCATTAAATTTATGTATAAGATTTTGTTTTATCATATTTGGGTTGCCTACGTAGACCTAAGCTTGTAAATAAAAAAAATCATATAGTATGTTATATTTTTGATATGGTGCCTCAAAGATCAGGAAAAATTCAAAGATTTAACGTGGTAGACCCACACTGCAGCTATATTATGGTTGTAGCACCAAACGGTCGCCTCGACCGGGGAAGGACCACGCGGAAGGAATACTAGTGTAAAATAGCACAGCTTTAATAATAATGCTGTGTTTCGTATGGTGAGTGTAGAAATCCAGAGACCCTTTTTCATTTGAAACGAGGCATTCCAAATTAGTTCTCAGGGGTGACAACGCATCCGCGTTTTGATTCTTAATCGAGGATAAATGTAGATGTCTATGGGCCACAGCACACAGTGCACTTACATCAAGTGGACTGTGTTCTCATTTGTCACCCTTATTCTATTAAAAAAAAAATAACCTATATAAAAAAATAAAAGAATGGCAACTTTTTTGCCCCTGTAAAAAATTATTTATCTCGTCCTCAAATATTTTTAGTATCATCTACACGGAACGAAAAATACACTCGAAGATCAGTTATTTCACCATTTTTCTGTTTTGATAAAATTTAAAATAAAAATATAAATATGGGTTACCTGCGACTTTTGCTGTGTTTTCTCCAGTCAGATAAACCTGATTTTGAATCTGTAGAAGATTTAAAGAAATGACGTTGTATCGTAGGGTTGGGCAATGTTTTAAATTGGATTTTTTTTTGTTTATACAAAGTATCATTTTTGTTCACAGACTACAATCAAAGTGTACGCGCGCTGTCTTCGACCAGACATCGAATACAAGACGCTGTCAGTGACTTGGGGAACGCGGGCTAGCGAGGTGGTCGCTACGTTGCTGGGCAAGTTCCGAATGAGGCACCGGGACCCGCGTCTCTTCTATCTCAGCATGGAGGTGCGGGTCCGTGCTGCGGGGCTTCGCACCACGCTCGTCCTGGACGACGACGCAAGGCCCGCGGCGCTCCAGGCTTGCCATCCCAAAGGATACTCCAAGTAAGTTTTCTTCCTCGCACGGCTTGGGGACCTTCAAGAAACGAGCTTACTTCTTTTTAAAAGGTTGGCAATGTACCCGCGATTCCTCTGGCTTTGAAACTTTATTTAATTTAATTTATTTATTATTCGACTGCCAAGCATGACGACTAGAACAAACCGCCCTAATCAGGGCGAGGCTTATTGTCTTTCAGAGGGCTGTAAAAGTCTCAGTAGAGAGATGCTGAAAAATAGGCATTGTCAGAAAAATGTTATGACTTTTTTATAGAATTAGGGTGACAAACGAGCACACAGTTCACCTGATCGTAAGTGGATGCTGTGGCCCATAGGCATCTACATTTAATCTCGATTAAGAATCAAAATGCAGATGCGTTGTCAACCCTGAGGACTAAGATGGAATGCCTCGACAAGTAAAACGGGTCTCCGGTTCTCTACACTCACCACAAGAAAGTATCATCAAGCTGCTATTTTATGCAGGTATTCTGTGAGAGCGTGATCCTAGCACAGTCGAGCCGACCCTTTCGTGCTACAACCGTAATATAGCTGCAGTGTGGCTCTATCACGTATAAACTGACTTCCGGCACATGGCAGTATTATCTTTAAAAATGGCATCAGCTTCAAACGTGCATGATATTTAGGATATACGAGTATACTACCTACCAAGAAGGCAGTTATTTCTAAATAATAATTAAATTATAGTTTAACAATAATAAAGAAACAAACTAAAGATAAATAATTTTATCTTAGACCGACCGATCCTGATTGGGATACTAGGATAATGTTATTATTGTTTGTCATCGAACTGCGACTGCAAATGAAGTCAATCGTCCGTCTGCAGCTTAGTGAAAATTACATTAAAATACAAAAAAATTCCGTTACATAGATAGATAGATACTCAAGAAAAGCGTGCTTAAACAGTGGAAAGATGGTAAAATATTCTTTATTGAACATCCTACTATAGAACACAGTTCTACTTTGCTTAATGAGAGATGTGATATTAATGATCGAACTCGTGAAAATCCACACCTCTGCTAAAGCACAGCTCGGTGAATTTCACAGGTATTATTTTTATTCCTATGAAATTCCTTAGCATGTTTCCTGCCAGTTACAGCCTTTACAACGAAGAAGTGATAACGCATGTATAACCTTCTTTATTCGTAGTTGTTTGCGGTGTCGATGAACTGCAGCAGACACTTACCATCACATTATACGTGGCAGAGCCATGCTGCAGTTATATTACTATAAGTCAACCAAATCTAAGAAATACATTTTGACAGCTGTCAGACTTATTGCACCAAGCATGCCAACCAAAAAATGGAAACTAACAATATTCGATTCTTAAAAAATCGATATCGATTATTTAGAGTTAGTAATCATTCACAGTTTGGTTTGAATAATACTAAAATAAATTAGAAACGGATAATTTAAAACACAAGATTTATCAGTTTCTTCATATCTGTACGTAGTTAGCTAGCTATTACTTTTTCTATGGTATTTGTTTTTACTGCTTATTTCTAGACGCAAATTTATAAACATTTTAGATTGGAACTAGATTAAAAATAAATTTATTCAATCACATTATAATTAGTTGAGCTGTCGTTGTTTAGATTATTTAATGTTTGAGTTTCAATAATGCAGTCAAAATTAATGTCTCTGTCAAAGTCATTCATAATCTTTTTTTTTGTTTTTCTACCAATTTTTCCCATTCAATAAAAAAATCAATAAAGAAGAAACAGCTCAAAAAGTTAAAGCCGAGTCACAAAATAAGAAGACAAACACAAAATCATACAATTACGCACATCCCGAAATAGCGGGAGATTGAAATCGTAGTAATTTTTTTAAACGCGGCCTTGTATGTAAGTTTTTTGTCTGCACAAATTTACGTTGACAAAGTAAAAAAAAATAAACTTGTTTTATTTATGATACATGTAGTTTAAGGAATTTTAATAATAAAATTTAATTAAACAAAGATACATAAAAAAAATAATGATTCGATTAGTTCAATATTTTTACCAGTTATTTGAATATTTTTGCCGATTATTCGCATAACAATGAATTTTAACCATCCAAACACTACGGTAAGGTACATAGAGACATATCATTGAAACGACATCGAGTAAAAAAGTTGATACTGGTTATTTTTTTTAATATTGTGCTTTGTTAGATAGATTCGAATTTAAATTATTGATAAAAAACTATACACGTTGTAATGAAATATAGATAACTTCATAATTCTTCGGATTTACGTAAAAGGTTATTTTAAATCGTGTGAGTATGCTTCTGCAAAGTTATTGCGGAATGATTAATGTGAAACGTCAAAAGGTATTTCTTAGATTTGGTTGACTATAGTATAGTTGTAGCACGAATGGGTCGGCTCGACCGGGGAAGGACCACGCTCTCACAGAATACCAGCGTCAAATAGTAGCTTAACGTTGCTGTGTGTTCGAGTTCGAGGGCATTCTATCTTAATCCTCACGCGTGACAACGCATCTGCATTTCGATTCGTAATCGAGGATATATGTAAGTGTCTATGGGCCACAGCAACCACTTACCATCAGGTGGACTGTGTGCTCGTTTGTCACCCTATCCTATAAAAAAAAGGTGGACTGCAAGTTTGTTTGTCATTCGAGATCTAAAAAAGAAGACAAATCTTAGGTTATTTATATTCCTATACACGGAGTGTAGTCCATTTAGTAAGACGAATCCACTCGAAATCGATTTAGTATGTTTCCAAATATCTCGCTTTAAAATAGTTCCCAGCATAAATCAGCAGCCGGTGTTGATCCTTGTACACTAACAATGACGACATGTGAATCCCACACGTGGTAACGTTTCATAGATGTCCCAATTTTTCACACAATAGTTTATTAATTGTGTCCTAATACAATGAAGTTATAACACAGTCGCTTGTTTGTATAAAACCGGCTTGTAGAGCGATTAATGCAGTCGTGTATATTTTTCTAACATTAAATCTGCATGTGTTTAGCGCAGGGGTGGCAAACTCGTGGCAACAATTTATCTATCTTAACTTTATTATCATAATATTTTATTCATGTAAATAATATTATCTACTAATAAAAAATTAATAAAATATAGTTTAAAAAATATAAAAAAAAATATATTAGTAATTTGTTAATAAGGTAAATAAAATATAATATAATATATAATAAATTATATCATAGTATAAATATATATATATATAAATATACAATAGATATAATATAAACTGACGTTATATCAAAAAATACCAGCTTTTAAATTAAACTCGCTGTCAACTTCACTTTACCCGAGAAAACCGGGTTCGATACCCGCTTTTTCTATTTTTTTTCTTTTCTTAATTTGTTTAATTCTAAGTCAAAACATCATTCATTAAAGATTCAATATTTTTATTTCTTATTATTATAGAATAAATGTTTTAACTTAACTTTTTTTATCAAAATGTTCAGTTTCACGTCTCGTGCGTGGTGATTCATATAAATAATATTTTTTTACAAAATCAATAAAAAATTATAAAATATCCCCTTTTAAAATAACCATAGTTCCTCCATTTAGTCAGTTTTAAATTGGAACAACTTTTCATTAAAACTTCAACATAGTAATTTTTATTATCTAATGTTTCACCCATCGTCTCATTCTCCTTGTTCTTTATTGCCGTTACAGCCTACCTATAGTCTACCACTGGACACCCATAGATTGCCTCATACGGGGATATATTGTTTTATAAAGCTTTTAAATATATTTTTTAAGTCAATCTCGTATTATGTAAAATTTTGTAAATTCTGCATGTGTTGGCTAGTTGAGCACCCCTGCACTATCAAACAATAGTTTACATTACAAAATTAAGGCCGCAACCTCGTTACGATATAATTGTTTTAATTAAGCCTTGCATTTATGATATAACCGGTCACAGATCGTTTGTACTGTGCAACATTATATTATTAAGTTTGTTATTATAAATAAGCAATGAATCTTAATTTTATATGTAGTAGTTACTTCTTTTCTTGAGTTTGTCTTGATAGAACCACCTCTTTCACAAAAAGAAAGTTAATCTTTTAATGTATTACCATATTACCATACTGAATTATTATGATGAAATGAATGGTGTTTTGTTTTGTATGATGTGTGTAGAGAACGGGAAATCATTTTACTAGTAACGAGTCATTGCATCTTAGTCCTCATGGATAACAAAGCGCTTGCATTTTGAGTCTTCGTCGTGGAAAGACGTAGGCGTCACAGCATCCGTTTACCATCAGATGGATTGAGTAGATTAGACATAATATCTTTCTTATATGTAAAAATTTGCCGTCCGTTAGTATCGCTGAAACTCGAAAACTGCTCGAACGGTTTTTGATGTGCTTTTGAATGGGTTCCTGGATGGTTTAACAACTGAATTGGATCCGGTAGGTGGCGCCGTTATTTAGTTTCGCAAAAACTCGAAAATAACTGGACTGATTTTGATGAAATTTTTTGTGTGTATATTTAAGTGGGTCCCGGTGGGGATTGTTTAGATTCACAATTATGGTAGAGCCACGCTGCAGCTATATTATGGTTGTAGCACAAATGGCTCGGCTCGACCGGGGAAGGACCACGCTCTCACAGAATACCAGCGTGAAATACCAGCTCTATGTCGCTTTGTTTCGTATGGTAAGTGTAGAGAACTGGAGACCCTCTTTACGGAAAACGAGGCATTCCATCTTAATTTTAAGGGGTGACAACGCATCTGCGTTTTGATTCGTAATCGAGGATTAATGTAGATGTCTATGGGCCACAGCATCCACTTACCGCAGCATCGACTGTGTGCTTGTTTGTCACCCTTATTTTATATGAAAAAGACTCGATAGGTCTTTTGGATCATCTGGATCTCGACAACAGGCACCGTGGTCGAGTTCCAGAAATCACCCGTGCGAAGCCGGGCGGGTATATATAAATTTAGTTTTCCCAATAACGATAATATATTATTGTACTAATATAAGATACTAAATCTTAAGTTGCTTTTATTCATACGAAAAATTAATGACAAAAATATAAATATGCGTAAATATAAAACAAAGTGGAGGAAAATAAACATCTCAATGAACAATAGCTATAGACAACTCGTTCAAAGATCGGCGCGCGCGTGTTTCGGACCACCGGCTATTCGAGATAGAAAAAGAACCACTCTTGTCCCTTTTTCTGTCCCCTTCCGGCCCGGCTATTTCTGTCGCGTAAACACACCAGCTTCCATAAGTAATAAAAAACGGTAAAACGTCTCGAAAGGTTTTTATTGACCGTGCGGGTAGTGTTACGCTGTGTTGACAGACGCGAGTCTGTTTTGATAACAGTAACAAGGTGTTATCTGTGACAAAGCTCAAGTACGTAGCTACCTATTTTATTATAGTTATTTAACTGTAAATAGTTTTGGTACAGAATAAGGGTGACAAACGATAGCATAGTCCACCTGATGGTAAGTGGATGATGTCATCATCATCATCATCATTACAGCCCTTCACAAGTCCACTGCTGAACATGCCTCCCAAGCAATGCCACAAAACACGGTCTGGCCCACCGCCCCCCATCCCCCACAGGTCATCACTCCATCTAGTGGATGATGTGATCTACATTTATCCTCGATTAAGAATCAAAACGCAGATGCGTTGTCACCCCTGAGGACTAAGATGGAATGCCTCGTTTCCAGTAAAAAAGGATCACCGGATCTCTACACTCACCATACGAAACACAGCAGTAATAAGCTGCTATTTTATGCTGTTATTCTGCGAGAGTGTGGTCCTTTCCCGGTTGAACCGACCCATTCGTGCTACAACCTCTCCTATACCTAGTAATTTTAACGTAAATTTTTCATCATTTTTAACATTCTGTAAAAGAATACTGCTGGGCTCTACTGCCAATAATATCCTCCAGACCGAATTTCGGTCATCCTGGTGTACAAGTGTATGCACAAGCTCAGGTGCACTCTCTAATTCCTCACTCTCTCGTAGTCCGATGGGACGGTAATCCGACACGACCAAAGAGAGATTAGGCGCAGGGCCAACGGCTTTACGAGCTTTCTGAGGCAATGGGGTAAAACACCGTCAAATTCTTGACTCCGGGCTGCTACTGAGAATTTTGACAAATAAACCCAATAACTGATTTTTTTCTGACCAGGGATTTGGACTCGGGATCTTATGATCAGCGAGTGCGTTTGTGACCACTAGATCAACAACGCAATCGAATTTGCCTAAATCGCGCGGCTTAGTAAACCAGTCTTGCTTGCACTTTTGATGGTGCACTCTGTCGTCGGTTTTTTTTACATTACAAATAGGCTTAGAAATAGAGCGATGGATTCCCTTACAGCGCTTCTATACGACCAAAATATTAAGGGAATCCACGACTTTTTGCCAGCAGGGAGGCACCACAAATGAGGTGTAAGTGGGGTTGCCAGACGGTCGGGATTCGCCTGGGTTCTCTCGTCCAACTAAGTTGATATGACTCTCGAGAGCTCCAAGTCGTCTGCAAAGAAGGAAACAAGGAAATGTAGCTTGCATATCGATGACAATACAATAATTTAATAACTTTAACCTACTACCCTGATCACCAGGATAACATAAAATATTTATCGGGATCATCATCATTTTAACGTTTGTTCAGGATGTTGTTTAAATTTTTTTAAACTCTTATATTACTTACTTATCTTAGTTCTCGTGATCTTTAGACCATTCACCCAATAATGGTCTAAGTCGCGATCCCACTAATGCTTGTGTGTTGAATATTGTTATTGACTACGAAGAGTATTAAGTGCTCAAAATCATAGCGTCCGTATTCATCATCTAAGTTTAGAAGCGCACTTGACTTGAATGCAGAGTGCATAATCGCATTTACAAAAAAGGGTTTGTCTAATAACTCAAAATATTTCAATAAATTAAAAATAATGACGGCAGGTCATCACTGAGTATATTATCTACTTTTTTTCATATCCTGGCATCCATTTTATCACATCATCACTAGTATATTATCCATTTTTTTATCATATCCTGGCATGCATTTTATCACATCAGCACTAAGTATATTATTATCTACTTTTTTATGATATCCTGGTATCCATCTTATCACATAATTTACAGCCTTTAAATTCCACAGCTAAACATTGGTCTATCCCATACATTGCCTCATAGGGAGAATTATGCCATAGTTGCCACATTTGGCAAGCACGTTGGCAACCGTAGTTTTTTTATAGGTAATTTTAAATTGTTATTAAGGAAGATGCCGCGGCCCATCTTTTGTTTTAGTTGAATTTTTCTTCTGATCTTTTGTGTTAGGTTCGCCTCTTAAGACACCCACGGTAACGATATGGGATAGTGGATATCCTTACACCAACACTACATGGTTTATACCGTCACCACACGGTTTAATACTAGTAAATTATTGCTTAATAATTTATTTTTTAGTTTAGTTGATGTTGTTGCTTTAAAGTCTTACCTTTATCTTACCGTTTTACCGTACCGTACACAGGTTTTAATCTTACCGTTTTTTAGGTTGTATCACTTGTGTCTAAGGTTACACACGTCCCTTTACTCAAATCAGGCCCCTTCGAGTTTCTAAGATGGACTTCAAGCAAGAAGCAGTTAGTTTAGCGCGCTTTACATATTGGTTTACCAGAAGTTCACTTCATGAGTTCTTGACGTGTTTTAATTCTCAAACATGCAAATAGTATCCTCGCGATGTTTTCCTTCACCACTACGGCCGCAATAAATGAGCACATTAATCTGCAATTGGTACCGGCGGGGATCGAACTCGGATTTCTTACTTACTGTTAAATTTACAGCGAGTTACTACAGCTTAGCATTGCCTTTTAGTTCTTTATAATATATAAATATTAAGTTAACGAACGCATTGGTTTAACGTTTTCCTGTTGTATGAAAAAAAATTGATATCGAAAATTTTGGTAATGAATGACCTGTAGTGTTGAACTACAAAATAAAAGGTAATTAATACCTCTTTATATAAGCAATGTGTTATAATAGCTGCAGCGTGAATGATTCGGTTCGACCGGTGTAATACCACGCTCGTACAGAACACCAGCGTGAAATGGCATCATAATGCTGCTGCGTTTCATATGGTGGGTAAGGAGAATCTATACTATGTTGGTATTTGCACTTTGATTCCTAATCGAGGATTTATGTAGATTCCTATTGGGCACAGCATCCACTTATCGTCAGGTAGACTTTGTTTTAGTCACCCTTACTTATATAATGGAAAGATAAAGAGAAAAGTTAATTATGTAATGCGGTAGTGAAACAATCCCTAATAAGTGTGATCAGATGTCGCTGTCGATGTCACACTTACTCAATCTTTACAATCTTCGTGCGGTGTGTATTTAGTAACAATGTCAATGATACTCAATATTCATTCGTTACGTTATCGAGCATAAGTTATGAAAACTTTACATCAATATTACGTAGCTATTTTACAGCTCTCTTGACTGCGTTGATCTACTGGTCGTGAACGTGGTTGCTGATCAAGCTATCCCGGGTTCGAATCCCTGTTTGGGCCAAAATTAGTTAATGGGTTTTTCTGTCAAGTAATTCCCAGTAGCATCCCGGAGCCAGAGAGTTGGTGATGTTTCACTGGCGTGCCTCGGTAAGCACGTACAGCCGTTGATTTTGCGCCCGATCTCTCCCCGACCGTGTCGAATTACCGTGTCATTGGACTATGAGAATGAGGAATAGAGAGTGCATCTGTGCATACTCATACACCCGGGCACCATAATCATGTCATGCGCAAATCTCCGTTTGGACTGGCCGCCGTTACGGAAATTCGATCTTTATAGGATATCATTTACGTTCGTCAGCTAGGCACACGCGTCCTATTATTTCTGAGAGGTTCATAGAGCAATTAATTCGAACTGATTCAGTATATGCTGGCGGACTTCACAGATCTTCCAACTATTTTGTTTTTAGTTTTTAAGGCATGCAGGTTATACCTCGATATTTTCCTTCATCACCGAGCAAGTGGTAAATCAGTATATAAAATTGCAATTAATAATTTCATTAGTCAACAGAGGTCGAACTGGGGTGCTCGTATATTGTCAAATTTGCGGTGACAGTTGACCTACCTCAACCACGGTCTTAACTTTTATCCTAAAATCGGCTCCGTTTAAAAAAAGTAAAGCCTAAATTATTTTATTTTTTCAGATTCTCTCTCCAGATGCGACCGGGCGGCTTGGTGAAGATCTACGATTCAGCGCTAATGTCCTCATCCCAGTACAAGTGTCTCTTGACCAGTGAGCGCACGACCGCCGACGAGCTGTTAGCCATCCTGCTGCACTGCTATGACTCCACCGAGGGTGTCGAGAGGTTCTCGCTTTATGAGGTTGGTATTGTAGTAAGAGGATATGTAGTAGTAGAGTCGGGTGTTGCTAAGATCTTCCGCCCGGCAAGGTATTCAGCCTGCGGAGCGGTCATCGCTCCGTGTGTTAGTACAGAGCGGTTTTAAATATACTCGGTACTTCGGAACTTTGGTAGCGTGATTTAGGCTTTAGGACGTGTCGCTTGTGGCGCAACGACGGCGCCCCGGACCGGTTTAAAAGAATCCAACATATTACGTCGTCCCGTGCGTGTCGTAAGCGGTAACTAAGATACGCCGGATAGATCTTCTGGATTTCGATAAATGATAATATCAACATCTAATTAACGCCAGACGTCGTCAAATATCCAGACCGACGATGGGGTGCAACGTCAAAGGCGCGAGACGTTGACAGGGAGCAGCGACATGGCAGATAAATTAATAAAGTGTGTTTCGATCGATGATGACGTTCGGTGGAGAGTTGAATTCAAGACCAGAACCCTGGCTGGCAAATCGGCTCCCCTGACCGCTGCATAAGAGACTGTTAAAATATACTATTAATTGAAATAAAAACATAATTCTGATCGATCTGTTTAGCCTCACATTACGGTATGAAATAAACCTTAGGGATGTGAAATTAATAAATTTAGTATTAAAATAATTGGAAAATATTTTACACTTAATATAGAAATATATATGTCTAGTAAATTTTCAATTTAATATTTAATCATTATAGATTTGCATGCGTCAAAACTTGGCAATATTAAATTTATGTGAAATTCAAATATTTTTTGCGTCACATTAATATCTAATGTCAAATCAATGAGTATTCAATTTAATCCAATATCTCGATTCCGGGCTGCTACTGTGAATTTTTAAACCCCCTAAACCTAAATGATTTTGGCCTAACCCCGGATTAGATCCTAGGACATCATGATCAGCACCCGCCGTTTAAGAGTACTAGACCAATGAGGTAGTCTCAATAAATGTTATAATAAATATTAAAATGTCTTTCCTAAATTTAAGAATATGATTTATTTTCCAGGTGTGCCCCTCTCAAGAGTACGAGCGGAAGCTGCACCCGGATGACTTGCCCCTCCTCGTGCAGCGCTCGTGGCCGGTGGACAGCGACTGTCACTTCCGTGTTCGGAGGAACCCCCGGGCTCCCCCGCTCCCACCGCGGACCATTCCCGCACCCGTTGAAGTTCCAAAAGAGGAAGACGAACCCTCTAGAGCCCTATCAGCTCTATCTCTCGAATCTGATGATGACAACAAAAGATACAGCCCAGTATACAAGTTCCCTAGCATAAGCTACTGTAGAGAGACGAAAAACGATTACCTTTACATATGACTAGCGATAAACCTGGTTAGGTTAAAGTCTGCAATAGAAGGCCGTAAGTGGCGAGTGCGGTCGACGAAAAAGAGACTCTTGTGAAGTGTAAATATGGAATGTTATTGTATAGTGTACATAGTGTTGGACTCGCTGGTAACTTACAGGGTGTATGTTCTCTTAGGATGAGCGAAACCAAAGAGATTTCTGGACGGCCTAATCTAGGGAGAGAAGAGTGTGACCTTTCGAGTAATTAAAAGATAAAATTAACATTGTAACATCATATAAAACAATCTTAACTTTTATAATAAAGTATATCCCTACAGATAACTCTACAAACACGAGAATATTCTTAAAGAAATGTGACCTTAAATTGTTTTTTGTAATTTATTTTAGTAATTTTAGTAATTGTTCAATAGTTATAGTTGTTGTTTTGTGGTGTTATCAAACTCTTTTGTCAACCGTCAACTGGGTGTTACAAGAGAAATGCCAGGAAGTCTTCATGACTTTCGATAGAGGGCGGTGTAATCATCTCGTTGACAACAGAAGTAAAATTTCCAAAGGTTGCGAGGATCTAAATGGTAGATATTTCTAGGGCTGTGATCGCCATTTGTTTACCAAACTTAACAAATTCTCTCTACACCATAAGGGTGATGATCAGCGTTGAATATTTGCAGGCTGATGAAGAAAAATATTAATATTACATTTTGTATCTACATGCTATAAGTAACCAAATTTTGATATATTCTTAAATGTTTGTATTGTTTCTTATTTTCTAGTCTCTAAAGTTTCACCTCGCTTCCCATAGACAATAGTAAAAAAATATTCACATATATTTTTTAAAGAAATCAGTTCACAGTTACCTTATGGTACCAAGCAAATGTTATTTGAGGCTTAACTTTACAGTGCCAAAGACGCTTTATTTAATATTGTGTACTGCGCTTATACAGGCACTCGCTCGATAACATCTTGTTCTATAGCAATCAGATCGAGGGAAAAAATTTAACGTAGTGTTAGATTAACCACGATTCTCCCAAGTCAAAAAACAATTACGTATTGAAAGTACTTTAAATTTCTTGTATCTGAACGCCAATTTTAACTTCAGTTTATTTATGCATAAAACTATTTTAGAATAAAGACGAAATTGCGTGTGTGTAAGCTTCATAATCGTATGACGAAAATTGTAAATAGTATTTTAAGTTCGTAATATAATTAGCTAGTAGACACCAAAGAGGCAAACAAGCGAACGTTTATATGATTTATTTATCTGTTATGTATTGTGATGTTTAATTTATTTATAAAAAAGGCAGCGGGCATTGTCCCCTCGTTTTGGTGATAGCGATGCTTTGCAAACTTTTGAAATGTAATAAAGATGTACATCCTTAAGTGTGCATTCGTATTGCATCGCTTAAATACAAAACGAGATTATTCGCTTGAGATGTTAAAGATTATGGGATTTCTACTTTAAATTAATTTTAATAAATGCGGTACTTTCTCTTGTATCAAAAACTGTTTTATTATATCATCACTCTCGATAGTCTCATAATCCTAAGATATTACACCTACCTTTCTTATTTCTGTGTTGGATGTCATGATTCATTTTCATCGTCGCAGCCCTTCCGAAGTCCATTACTGAACATAGGCTATTTTCATTCATCCACTACCTGCATGATTTATCAGGTTGTCACGGTATCTATTGTCAAGTCTCATTTGGTCTAGCGGTCGTAAAACGCGGTTGTTGATCGTCAAGCGGTCCTGAATATGAATCTCGAGTCGGGACAAAATCAGTTATTAGGTTTTACTGTCAAGAAATTCTGAGAATCAGCCCAGAGTTAGGAAATTAGCGGTGTTTCAATCCTGTGCCTCAGAAAACACGTAAGCAGGTCCTGCTCCTGATTTCTCTCCGGTCGAGTTGGATTACCGTTCCATAAGACTATGAGAGTGAGGGAGAAATTGCACCTGTGCTTGCGCTACTATCGCGGACTATAATACTGTCCTGCGCGGATGGCTAGTTAAACTTGAGACTGGTTGCAGAGACCGATATTCGATCTAGAGGACATTATTTCGAGTTACATTACATTTGTAGGCATGAAACAACCATGTTTCCCCATTTTCATTAGCCACTCCAATCTAATTGAAAATGCTAGTGTTTGGAGTGGTTTATCTCATATAAATGTGAGATTTGAAATAACGAAACGCAGTCAACGAGCTAAAGAAGAACACGGAGAAATCACAACGGAGAAAAATATTATAGGCGCGAAACCATTAATATTTTGTTGATAATCCAATCCACGATAAAATGGACAAATATAGTAGCAACTAAGCACATTCGTAAATAGTTATGATACTAAAGTAGAAAAAAAAAAAGAAAAGAAATAAGCATTGATATAAAGTATTTTATTTACAAATGATTGCAACAATGAAGTACAGGCGATGCAATATAATTACAAGAGTATGTATGTCCAAAAAATGGGAAACGGATAATATCTAACGGCACTAAAATTATCATTTATGTAAAATTTTATACATTCAACGCCAGGTGAACGTCACATGCTGCGACATGGATACTTAACGCATAAGATGGAGGCAACTTACTCATTCAGAAAATTTCTAAGTTATGAAAAACTTGTCAGTAGTAGTAGAAAAAAATCCCGAAATACTTTTTGTGGAATACACATAAATGACTTAATAGATAATTATACGTTTCCTAAGTTATTTTAGGTTTTACTCCACCTCAAAACTTGAAGTATTAATACGAAATATTGACCAATTCTCTATACTTAAAACATTCATAATTATGCTGTATTCCGCTTATGAAAAGTTTAAATATAAAGATGATAAATGCGATAATCTATGTGATAACGATTTAACACTTAAAGAAATATAAAACTTGTAATCTTAAAATTATTTTTAATAAGAAATACTTGGTTCTTATTGAATTATTTGCCTAATGGATTAAAAACCGCACCAACTACCAAAAATAACTTTTGTTTTGTGTTATTGAAATTCTTTGGTCAACTACATACAAATTAAATATAGAAATAATTTCTGAAGCCCAGTAAATTGCCTCTGACAGATGCTTTAAGAGTACATACACTATATCTTAATTAGAAATCTCTCTCCAATATCGAATGTCACCACGCGTCCGTTACTCACACACCTCCATATATACGAATATAAAAGCCTTACGTATGTACACATGATCATCTTCTCTCTATCAAAGCTCAGCACTAATAATTTATTACAAAATTTTCTTTACCAAGATACACTTGTTTTTCTGTATTGAAATTTTACAACAACATAGAGAGAAGATTAAAATATTGCACACACGTCATTACTCCAGAATTTATCAGAAACAAACTCTTACTTTCCTCATTTCTTTAGTTCTGATAAAATTACTTTTTAATTTCAACCCTATTTCCACGACAAGAACAATTTTTGTCCGTCAAAAACTGTCAAATAATAAAATCTCAATATATAATTGATTATAGCATATTTTAATAAGATGAGATAAGAATATTATCATTTTGTTTACCAGAAGAAGTGGAAGTATCCTAATGAAAATAGTTTTAAAACGAAATTTTATTGCCAAACTCTTATTAAACAATCAATCACAAGCTTATACAAAACCAATAACTAGCGTATAATATGAGATACATTCAGCTTTTCCTGTCGTGGAAAGAGTTTAGGGATGTGCAAGCTAAGGAGTCCACACAACCGCAGTCATTCGTAACGCCGCAAACAGAAGCGTGCCACTAAAGCTCAGCAAATCGAAACAACGGTCACCGCGACCGACAGTTCGGGAACTGTTCATATTCAACGATTCCCACGCTTTACTCACAAATTCCTTTTACAGCTGTTTGGACCAAGACTATCAACTTGTTCATTATCGCTAAAATTAGACTAATAAATCTTTAACATCAATAGATATTTTTATCTTTCAAAATTCATGACCGGGTTCTTAAAAATAACTCTGAATCATTATAAAAATAATTTGGATTAATTAAAAATCAATATTAATTAAAAAGATGAAGGGAATGAATACAAACCATCGAAAACTATTTTTTTAAGAAATCACAAGTTTGATTTGTTTTAAAAGTGGATTATTATTGGATTTGTTAATTTCCACTCGAGTGAGACACTGAGGATATAATCATTACACAAACAAACTGTTATCGCTAGGTATGATCAGTTCTCGATTGTGTAAATGCAGCTGCTTCTGAGATAATAAAATACATTTTTTTCCACAAATATCGCAAATTTTTGCTAGACAATATATAGAAGCTCGTAGTGTTCGAAAGAGCAAAGTACAATATACAACTGTCTCTATTGAATTAAAATGTTTATATAAACTAAACTTCTGAAAATATTTTTGTGAATTACTACTAAATATAATTTAGTGCTATTAAAGCTGACGTAAAATGATTTTTTTGAAAGTAGATTATGCTCAGACTAGGTATAACTATATAGCAATTCAATTCAATAATGAAAGTTCAGTTGATCTCGACTCTTCGATCTCTTGTGTCTTTCCCAATAGCAAAATCTAATTTTAAAATAACCATTTATAATATGCCTTAAAATATTTCATATTTAGAGAAAAAGTTGTCGATGTGTTGCATAATAGAATTAATATTGATCGCTCGACAAGTTTAGCTATCCGCTGAAATGACGGCAGTTTGTCGTCACAGGTGCAGTTGCGTTCACACAGCGAGCGCGCGACTTGCCAACAGAAGGCGCAGGGATCACGAAAATACTAAGAATACACGAAACCGCAAAACAATCGGTCTTAAAGCACCACGCGAAATCTGGGAACCGCTACACGGCGTTGAGTGCTCGCCTCGACGGCCCGTAATCGTCCGGCGCATCTCGGTCTCGGCTTCGAGGAGGCCTTTCCTCTCTCGGGTACCCCTCCCTAGCATACTCTCGTCCATAATCCTCCCTCGCGTATGCGTCACGCGTATAATCGTGCCCGTACGCTTCGCGATCGTACGCGTCCGGCGGTGGGTACTCGTGCGAGTAGCCCTCGTGATATTCTCGCTGGTAGTGCTCTCGCGGATACCGCTGATACTGATCCCGTGGGTAATATTCTTCCTCTAACCGCTCGGGCCGTACCGCCCGCGACCTGCCTCCTGGAAATCCACGAAGTAATGAGATCTTGCTTGTTATCCAGCGTATAGTTAGTTGACTTGCCTTCTGTTTTTTTTTTCAAAAAGGTCCTTTTGACCATTTATGATTAATGTTTACATTAATTTTGAGTTCAGTAATTCACCGTTCTCTTATTGAAGATATCATTGATTATTTATTAAAATAGAAGACAACTGAACTAACAGATAGGAGGGATTGGGACAGGATGAACACAGCAAAAATCACACAGGGAGTGATATAGTGAGGAGTCGCTGTCGGGGTACACGCGTTCACTCGGGCACCCGGACTTACTGAGTTAAGATTCAAAATCGAGCGACGGTGTGAGTTCTCCAGTATTGCGCACTTTACCCGGGCACGGGAGCACCATCTCCGCGGCGGGGGTCGGAGACGGTGTCGCTGCGAAGAAGTAGACAGTGAAGCGAACAGCTTCGGAATCCCATTAATACTTGGAAGATATACAGACGATGTTTATAGAGAAGGCGATGGAATCGATGGTAACAAAGGCTCCAACAGCGAAGATTTCATTTTTATTATTATTAATTGAAGCTTAGTTTAAAGAACGACAAAATCTCTCAGTTAAAAAAAGCAATAAATCGCTAACACTGTTAGTAGCGGTTATTAAAGGTAATAGTTAATAATGAGTGGAATATATGTAGGTATTTCATTATATTTAGTAACGTAATTATAAGGAATTGAACGTTAGTTTTTACTAAAGATTTTGATATAGGATATAGGATAGATTTAAAAGTGGATGCAGATTTGTTCCCTCACGCCTGTAAAATAAAACATTAAAAAAAAAGTTCGAAAAGGTTAGTTGAAGCGACACCCTTCAAATAGCTATTTAAGTTGTTAATGGCGGGCAGGAGCCGCAAGAAAGTATTTGCAACCTGAACGGTAGCCATCGCCGACGGTACTGCTATATAATGGTAAACTGGAATATATGGTCTTCGGCGCGACGGTTAGTGTGCTTGTCCTGATGCTTGTACTGAAATGAATAGGAGGTGTGAGCGGGTACAGGCACTACTTGTTAATCTAACACAAAGGCTTCTATGTATACTTCTTGACCGGAAGTTCAGAACAAATATTGTGTCACAGCCACGGATCGCGCGGACGCGAGCGCGGACAGGTAGCTGGCTTTGTACCGGAATATGCCACGCAACGTTTATACATACATACTGCAGCTATATTATGGTTGTAGCACGAATAGGTCGGCTCGACCGGGGTAGGACCACGCTCTCACAGAATATCGGAGTAATATAGCAGCTCCATGCTGCTGTGTTTCGTATGGTGAGACTCTTTTTTAACGGAAACGAGGCATTCTATCTTAATCCTCAGAAGTGGCAATGCATTTACATTTTAAATCTTAATCGAGGATAGATGTACTTGTCTATGAACCATAGCGTCCACTTACCATCATGCGGACTGTGTGCTCGTTTGTACTCTTATTCTATAAAAAAAATGCACGCGAGAACTTGTATTTCCATTTATGTCAGTTACTTATAAGGCAAACACGAAATAAAGTTACTTACATACTTAAATAAAAAAATGGTTAACAAAACCAAGACCTAGTCTTCTCGCCCGCTCGCAGTTGACTAAAGGAGTTACGGAGAATTAACCGTAATTTAAGTGTGCACTATATTAAGGCCGCAGAGCCCGTCTAGTAGTGTACATAGAAGACTTTGATCTAACATCGATCGGAAGAGTGCTTACTACAGGGAGCATAAGAAAGGTACAACAATTGTTTTACACGGCAAAGTAATAAACGGACTTGTGTTTGTTAGAACAAAAAAATTTTTTTTCAATGTTTTCAATGAGTACAATTATATTTTTTTATTTTTTACTGTTATATATATGTAGTACTTTATTTGTACGATCATCTCGGAGCAAATTTAAAAAAAAATTGAATGTGAAAAGATTTGTCATTGCATTCTAAAGCGATAATAGGTAGGTACGGTGCAGAAATAAGCAGGTAGCAAGGTATTTTCATTTATTTAATATTTGTCTAAATGACCAATGCCATAATCTTTCCACTAAGTTTATTAATCATATCTAATAACAGCGAACTGTGCACAGTACTATTGACTGAGTACTGTATTTTAGGTATATCACGAGTAAGTCCTTTTACTACTTTGGCAAGTTTAATAGTATTACGAATTTGGATGAAGACTATAGCTGTGCATTATTGGTTGGTATGGCGTAAATATAAAAACGAATCCTTCTTGTTCGATATCTCTAGTTATAGCTCGTCTTCGAGAAAAGCCTTAAAGGATAAGAAAAATATACAAGTACTACTAAGCATACATAATCAATATACAGGCAATACGTCACTCAATTTTATAAAACTATCATAACTAACTACAAAATAAAAGACTTAGCAGTGGCATTTCTTTGAATTGCTTCTTAGATTTTTATTTATTTTTGGTAAAAACCAAAATTAATTAATAATCTTATAAGCCTTCTAAAAATATTGGCCTAAAAAATCAGATTCATAAATGATGAATACAATTTTGTTGGATTTCTAATTGCAGTACTTCAAACGTTTTATTCTAAATATAAGTAGCCTGTTTGACGATTGTTATTAAGAAATATACAAATCTACACCAGTTATCGTCAGCTCTTTTAAAGTCTAAAGGCCTTTGAGAAAGCGCCCGTGGATCTACTTCGCGTAAATAATCTTTAAACCTGCAAATTTGATAAAACATTTTTTCAGTGTAGAAAATTCGTACTCTTAATACTCTACTTGACTCGCTTTTTACCTCTTTCACGCTCGTAGTTATACGAGTCCGATCTCTCTCGATGTCCGCCGGAATGTGCAGGGGGATCAAAAGAGGGAAATATTGGTTACAAACACGAGTACGAAATGACGCATGCAATTTTATCCCCTATGCATTTATAATATTTATATACATACATTAATATTATACAAAGTTTAAATATAATATCTTAATATTCTCAAGTTTATTAATTTATGTTTACATACAAACACCTAAAATTAATGAATTCCATTTAATTTCCAAGAGAATACAATAATAAAATATATTTATCTCTTTCTGTTCTTATTACACATACACATTACATCATATTATAAAATATTAAAAGTAAAAAGAAAAAATAGAAAGAGCAAAAATAGTTTGAAGTAGAAATACTAAGTTACAGCCTATATAAATCCCACTGCTGGGCACAAGACTCCTCCCATTTCTGAGAGGAGTTTATGGCAAGGATGTGCCGCTTCCAGTGCATGAGTGTGTGTGCGCGCATGTAATCTACACACGCACAGCAGCGTATGCACACACTAATGTAACATGGCGAATACGCGTGGACCTGTGCGTATACACCAATTTTTTTAAAGTTTTTATAAGCCACTGCGTTAAGTACATGTAGGTAATACATTCTCACCCGGTCGAAGTAAGTGGTGAAGCCCCAGATGGTAAATCGCACTGTCTGTGGAAAGCATATTCACTCTTGCCTTCAAGACGCCCAAATTATAATCAGAAGAAAAGATTAACACCGGCAGTTTATATTACAAATGTATTTTATCAATAAGTGCGATGTGTGTACGTGCTTGCGTATTACTTTAAAGTATGTTGTTCGCGTGTTCGTGTGCGTGCGCGTGTGAGTGTGAGTGTACGTACCAGCTTGCCCATTACATTAAGCAAGGCTGCTCAGCTTTTTTAATTTAAACTATAAGAAAAATTTTAAAACATCAATAAGAAATCTAAGATATGTAATTGATACAATCGATGTGGTTTCTGACATCGTTTCTGTTGTAATAATTTTTTAATGTTAATTTGCCTTAAATGATTTAACTTAAAATCAGATGTTGGCAGTAATAACAATTCACAAATATGTTGTTTAGTTAGTGAGATACGTTAAATTATTACTCGTTCTTTTCGCGGAACGCAACATTTTTTCAACTGGGCGGGATTTTTCAACTTGATTGCGCGGGCTTTTAAGAATTCGCTCGCGAGTCACAATTTGCCCCACGGGCGTGCGGTTGATCAGACTTGTATTAGAGTATGTTACGTGCATGCTTGTGTGCATGTATATGAGTGGGTGTGCGTGTACTCACTAGTCTGCGCTTTACATTAAAGTATGTTACGTGTGTGCATGAGTATGCGTGTCTGCATGTGCATGTATTCAACAGGCTGTGTATTACATGTTATGTGTGTGCGTGTGCATGTGCGTGTGTTCAGCAGGCAGTGCATCGCATTAGAGTATGTAACGTGTGTACATGTTTGCGAGTACGTGTGCATGTGTGCGTGTGCGTGTACTCACCAGGCTGCGCGTGGTGCGCGTGGTGCGCGTGGTGCGGCGCGTGGTGCGGGTGTACGGCGGCGCGCGGTGCCGGCGCCACCGTCGGCGGGTGCGTCGCGCTCCAGTATGCCTGCCAGGCGAATATCGTTTTTATTATTACACTTTAAGGACGGAAGTATGTTCAACTGGTGGCGGTATTAGAGAATCTATCGGCGATCTCATCTCGTGGGAGTCGTATAAGAGAAGACTATGAGAAACACCAAAAAACCCTTAAATAAATGGCGGTATAATGACACCGATTACGCTAAAATCTCTCTAATACGTAAAGTCGACCCATATTCACGAATAAACTTTTATCTCTTTTTTTAAGTCGTTTTTGTTTAAAAACACTTACTGACCGACGCAGCTTATTATATATTTTTAAAATTTAACTTTAACAAGAAAAAGTGTTTACGTTATATCTTTTTTTTTTAATAGAAATATACCGGTTGAAATAAAAAAATAAAACTTTTTTTTATTTTATAATAACAAAAAAATGAGTCCTAATATAATTGTAACATAAATTTGATGGAAAGAAAAAGATTATTTAACCAAACTTATACAACAATTTATAGAAGGTTTTGTGGCGGCGCTGTCGTCGCGCCAAGCGAAACATAAGCAAGCCTAAATCACGCTATGAACATTCCGCATCATAAACAGCATATATAGAACATCTCAGAACTATCACACGGAGTTTGGCCGCTCCCCAGGCATAACACCTTGCCCGGCGGAGAATTCCCCTTTTCCTACTACGGCCACAGTGGTGACGCCGACGTGATCTGAACGCGCAACCAAACACCTTCGGAAACTACAACTTCAAGCCTTCGTTATTATCCTTAAGAACCCCTACCATTCACTACTGAGAATAGTCTTCTGCAGTCGTCAGTTCCTGCAAGCCAGTCCAGCCTGTCTTCATCTTGACTCACCGCATATTTATAAGGCAGACTTCTGGCACTTGCTCCGGCACATCGTTCTCACCGGCATCACTTGCCAGTGCGTAAGTACGGCATGCATTACACATCGGCATATCATTCGCACCGGTGTCACTTGCTCTTACGCACACAGCATGCATTCCCCACCGGCATTAAGGACACACCGGCAATCGGACTGCACTATCGATCTCTGGTCTGAGCAGGGGAGTGATGTGACGGCGCTGTCGTCGCGCCGCAAGCGAAACATACCGAAGCCTAAATCACGCTATCAACATTCCGAATCATAAACAGCATATATAGAACATCTCCGAACTATACGACGAGCGCCCAACACGGAGTGTTGGGCGCTCGCCGGGCATAACACCTTGCCCGGCGGGAGATCACCCCTTTTCCTACTACGGCCACAGTTTTTATTGAATATAATATAACTTCTTCCCTGGCTCGAACGCATGCGGAGATCCTCCTGGGCATGCGGATGAAAAGTTATCCAGCATTACTTGCGGTAACCTGTCCCATTCTTGAATAGCTGCTTCCCTGAGCTTTGGCACTGTCTGGGGAGGTGGCTGGCGGTTCCAAACAGCTCGCTTAATATTATCCCACGCGTGCTCTATTGGGTTTAAGTCAGACGAACCAGCAGGCCAGTTTAACCTTGTGATGTCGTATTTTTGAAGAGCAGCACTGACTCGTTGAGCTCGATGTGCGTGCGCAATATCATCGACCAGTACGAATTGATGTCCATAGTTTAGTCGGAATGGTCTGACAATCCCATCAAAAGCGACTTTTTTCTATCTATTTGCTGTCATGGATATTGCATGTCATAGCGATTCGGGCCAGCAATCAGAACAGTTTGGTGACTATTGCGAGGTCGGTCAGCTAAATTATCCATGCCGTGGTACCTCTGCAACGTGGCCACGACACAAAATTGGGATATAGCAACTCTGCGTGATATTTCTCTCGTAATATATCCTTCGTCCCTCAAAGTTACAAAAAATATTACAAATTCGTTAAAATTGACTGTTTCTGAATCATCGTAAGTTTGGATTGAATTTTTTTATATGGAATAACAATAGAATTTGTTTTATTGTTATATTCTAACTCTATATTTATAAGGAAAGAAGATCTAGAAAGAAGACGAAAGTATAAAGAAAGAAAAGTATAAGAAAATAGAGCCTAACGCAGCCGTCATATGGCTATCCATATGACGGCTGCGTTAGGCTCTGCACTCACCGACCCAGTACGGAATTATCGTCGTATCGTCGTATTACAGTCGTATAACCACAATTGAAAACGCACAATGAAAATAATTGCATTATCTTAAAAAAATACAAAGCAAGTCAATATCATTTCATTAGTTTGAAATATGGTATATATGTAAAGAAAATACTCTATGTCTCCTAAATGTTCTGTTATAAATTAAAAAACTTGAATAACTATCCTATTATATAGTTATATTAGTATAAAAGAAATGTGAATGCTGCAGTACCTCGAGGTATTCCGCAATATGTTCGCAGGCATCCTCGAGCTGGTTCTCGTCAAGGATGACGTCGAACATGTCGGGCGGACACTGTGCCAACTTCTCCGCCGCCACCATCTGCACTGACAGGTTCTTGCTTTGCCCTTTACCGCGCGATTTTATCAACCGCTGTAGCACCTGTAAGGGTTATATTAAAGTAAAATAAAAGGTTAGAGTACTAGACACAGGCTTTCTATTATTTCTTAGACGTTTTTGAACTATAATTGAGTCCGCCATTCTGCGTAATGTCGACCTTTAGATGTTGTTGAAATATTTTAATTTTACAGGTACACCCAAATTTTGTAACCATGTTTCCTACATGCAGAGTAGATATTTACCACAAGTAGGTGAAAGCTTGAAGTTTTAATTTCCTTAATGCTGGCACAGTATATAAATAATTTTTATACTGTGGTGCTGGTGAGGATCAAAGACCGGTTGCTTTCGTAGTATGAAATTCAAGGGACATTATTATTTTTATGCAACCTCGTTCTAATCCATAAATTACGAGGATCATTAAAATCTCAGAGAAGTCTCCGCTAGCAGTGGACTGTTTACACCCTGACAATGATCACTATTTCAGTGAATTTATTGCAAATGCAAGCAATTTACTATTATACTATACTAATAATAACGGACCAAGAGTAAAGCCCTGCGGAATCTCCTCCTTTTTTTTTGTTCTTTTTATTTTCCCCTGAGTCCATTTGCTGAATATAGGCTCTTTATAGAATAAACTATCAGCTTATATCTTTCGAAAGCTTTCCCAGAACTTTGGACTTTCAGTCGGTCCTCCACACTTGTCTGTCAATTAGCAACACCCGGTGTGGTTAACGTTTAGAGAAAAACTAAGCATTTTTCGCCTAATACTCATATAGATAGCATACGTTGTAAGATTCTACAATGCTCACTACACTGGGAAGGTGTATTAAGATGGCACTACTTAGTAATGATACTTCATATAACCGGTCTGTAGGATTTGGGTTTGGCATATTTCGGTCTCTGCTATCTCTGCTATATCTATTCTAAGGACTTCGCTTAAGAATTTAATGTGCAAAAACTATAAATCTCACCTTGGGACTCGATATCTTCAAGTACACTATGGTAGGCGCGAGAGAAGTCTTCGCGAGCTGTGAAGGATGGTTGATGGTGTCGCAGTCAAGCACCACGAGCTGTAGCGTTCGCGCCAACTCGAATATCCTTTCGATTTCCGCCTACCGATACATTTCATTAAAATATTAGGATTAAAGAAAATTTTATAAAGGTTGTAGTGGGGATTATAATATCCGACTGCCTCGTTGGTCTGGTGATTTTAACCCTTTCCCTGTACCATGAACCGTATATAAACATTCTAATTGTTTAACTAATGTGTCTATATCGCGGATAGAGAACCCGTTAAACGCGATTTCTATTCATGAGGTCTCGGGTTTGAATCAAGGGTCGGGCCAAAATCAGTTATTGTATTTTTCTTTCAAGAAATTTTCTGTATAAAGATGTCAGGCAGTTGGTGGTGCCCCGTGCCCTGGGAAAGCACGCAAAGCGGTTGGTCCTGTACCCAATTTCTCTCCGGTTGTGTCACATTACCGTCCCGTCGGACTATGAGAGTGAGGAAATAGAGAGTGCACTTGTGTTCGCGCATACACTTAGGCATATAACCACGTCCTGCGAAGATGACTAGACAGAAATCCGGTCTGGGGGATATTATTAAAATTATTAGTGGATATTATTACATTGTAGTATCATTAGATATATTATCAATGCATATCCCAGAATATTTTCTTTGGAACAGTATTTTTCAAACAACAAGATTAGCAATTACATCCACGATTACCAATGAGTGCTTTTAATTTCATGCATTAAAATTATTAATAGCACAATTTTAATTTTTTTTTAAACCTAACACTTAGGCATTGATTTAAAAACAATTCTTTAAAAAAGATATTTATATTATTAATGTAATATTAGATAACAATTGTTATTTTCAATATAAAAGTAAACAGTTTTAATTAACGTAATGAAACCATTAGTATTACGTAATTAACTGTAAGGAGCTTACAAAATCTTTAAGGCATAAGCTTTTTTAAAATATCATCTTACGTTATTTAGACAGTTAAATGTTACCTTGAATTTATACCCTAACTCAATCATCTAAAGATTTATTAAAATATAATTCAAATATTTTCTATTTACAATAAGTTATATTACTGATTTTGTAAATAGTATAATTTCAAACAATTTATGATGTTTAGACCCAGTTACGCAGGTTAACCTTTTACAGGAGCTAGAGTTACATTGGTATGTATAAATTCGTTTTTGTTGCAATAAAAAGTTTTCAATTTTCAATTTTTCAATGTGATATGAATCACTAAGGCATTTGTTCACTTAATCAAGGGCTTACTAAACCATGCTTATCAATTTTCTAAAAGAATCTGCCACCATATTTTATTAATTTCAATTAGCAACTATCGGTTAATTTCAACGATGTCAAGTTATTTTTAAATTTATGGTTAGATTAGCGTAAATGTAAGGTTAGGTTAGCGTAAAAATTGAGTAAAGAGTGTGCTATGGGGCGGGCCGCTCAAAATACACACCACACGCTCCTTCGAACGCTCTCCACTCAGGCAACCGTCTCATTAAAAAAAGTAGTTTATAGTAAATCTGAGACTTAAACTAGAGTCTGTTTCAATGAAGAAGTCCTGTGGGTAACATGCGAGTTAAAATGCAAAGTTTTTTTAAGTGAAGACTCGTAAGTTGAAACTCGAAAAGAAAAAAGCGACACTAAAAAGAGACAAACATATATCTATAGAATTATTATAAACATATATCTATAGATTATAATATCTATAGGATTTGCCTACTAGCCTGCGAGAGAATGAGATGGAATATTTTAATAAATTAGTCATGTTTAGGCCATCTAGAGTACTTTAGCTATAGAAATAGAATAAATAATAAATTGCGCTATTACAAAGAAATTTTACTTGGATAAACGTATTCTTTAGATTTATTACACTATTAGGCTCTAAATATGTGAAAATAAGGATATTTACGCTTATTTTATTTTATTTATGTATATTTTATGCCGCACTTGTAGTTCAAAATGATCTATTATAAATAATTTACCGTGATATATTTTTAATTCATATTTAATTTCATTTGAGGGCTTTACTTCTACCGCGTGTGAATTACACACATTTTTTACTTATATACTAGTGCATGACCAGAATTCCACCTGATGGTGCTAAGTAGTACCCTAAATAATAAATCTCATTGTCTTAGTCAAAAGCCTATTCACTCCAACCTAGCAGACGTCTAAATTATATTCGGATTCAAAGACAGGTGCAGGCAAGTTAAAGCATGGAATTTGAGAGCAAATGTCTAATTTTGCAAAGAATATGTCGCTGTGGCAAATGAACTTCTTTCGAGAAAAATACTCTTCTTTAAAGAAAGAGACTCTATGACTATCATCAATAAACCATATTTTGTAATAAGACGTATCGAGTCTTGGCCACTTTTCACTACACAAACTATAGGGATATCTTTATCTACATTGATCGGGTAACTTCAAGCAGTAGCGGTTAATGGCACACAATATCCAATCGCACCAAGCCCGCACCTGGACCTCAGCGAGACAGTTATTTCGCGAATTGCCGCGCTCCATTGGTTTTTTGGACGGCGTAAGCAGTGACCGTTTCGCCAGGGAAATGTCCGCCGTGACTCGCGTAATGATGATCCTGAAACGAGACGGACAGTGCATTAACCGGGCAATATTACCTGGACCTCGGCTAGGCAAGTGGAGCGCGAGTTGGAGCGCTCCATTATGGCCCGCTTCGACGGATTGTTGAGCAGCGAACGCTTCGCGAGTGATATATCCGCCATCACACGAGTTATTATTATCCTGGAATTGCAATTAGTAAAATACATTCGAAGTTCCGTCAACACAGGATTCTCATCTGGTTGGGCTATGTAAATATATAAAAGAAAACTATAAATATACATAAATATATATTAAATATAGTAAAATTAATAAATAAAAATTACATAAATAAATAAAAACGTAACCAGATGGAAGCTCCCGGTAGCAAACGGCCGAGTGTTAGGGGTTAGGGGAAGAAACCGGTGGACGATGTGGGCGGGCATCCGACGGGCGTAGTCCGTCACGAAGTCCCAGTCGTCTCAGATGATCTGAGAGGTTGACCGGGAACTAGCCCATCCGCAGAAACGACTTCAGAAATATTTCCGGTTATTATTTTTTAATAAAAATAATTTATAATTTACTTGTCGTTGCCTTTTTATTTATTTTTATTTTAGGATAGTTAATAGAATCAGGCGTTACTTTGCGGGAACTCATTATATTAGAGATGTTAAAAATTAACTAGCTAAGATCGGCGTAATAAAATAAAATGATGTCTTAACTAATTTGAAGAGCACCTTCAATTGCATAGCCGTCAACCACCGCAATCTACTTCGCCTGAGAATAACCTTGTGTAGAGGCGAAACACTTTTTTTTAATAGGAAAGAGGGAAAACGAGCATAAGGTTCACCTGACCCGTGAACAACAATGTCGTATTATCGATGGTGGTATGTCCTTCCTAATGTAGTGGTGTTGGGAGTAGCGGTGCTGAGATTAGTGGTAACAGGAATAGCGCACGCAATTATGGGTAGGGCAGAGGTCACTCTCTCTCTGAATCTATATTTCTTTTATTTTCATCAATTGTTTTGTACGCACAAACACTCAAACTTTTTCGTTATATCCTTGTCTCGTATTATATTATAAGTAATTGCAAAGTAAAGAAAACATATACTTAAAGCCTGTACCTGCCCTCAAAACGCCTCTTAAGAAAATCAAAGAGCGCTTTCTGCATCATATCTGTGACCTCGTAGCCCTTGAGCGAAGGCCCCACTAGCACCACAGGTCGCATTGAAGGCACCACGTCATACGGACTGCACGCCTCCTGTTTCTTGAAGAAGGGCTTCCTCTTCTCTTTGCCAGCTGGTAACGCCCCCGCCCCTCTTCCCCTGCCCGAGTCTGAGTCTTCACCTAAAGGTAACAAAGCTTTCCATGGAACACACGGTTGATACGAGTTTGAACGAAATTTGCAAAGCAATTTTTTCGATTTTCAAGAGATATAAATACACTTAGAGATAAAACCTTTCGACTGAGCATTCAAGCTTTAGCGGTTTCACAGATACAGAGAGAAAGAGACAAAAGATTTTCTTTTTCTGACTTAGAGCAAGCAAATATCAGGCAAATTAATAGACACTTAACATTAAAATATCGTAGGAGATCATTCTTAAAGTAAACTGTATTCTGGGACATCAAGGCATGCTTAGAGCTTCCAGTTACTAATGCACTGTTTTGTTATTTGATATACTTTCAAAAACATTAAAACACAGATATATTTAAACATATAGAGTAGGTGTTGTTGTTCATAAGATCTAATTCAATACTTTAACTTATAGCTGTATACTTTATAGAATTTGGAATTTTACTTGCGAAGTTGACGATTTGAATTAGAACTTTGGAAAATAATAGCCAACCTACGTAATCAGGGTATAAGTCACGCAATAAAAGCTGGAATGTAGAACAATAAAAATGCCTCTATGGTGACGTTGATATCTGGAAAAGAGGGGATCTTCGCTAGGCAAAATGTACACTGTAGGAGCGGACAAGCGTCTGTAAAGTGGAGTAGAGCTTGTTGTATAACGTGTAAACAAAACCCCGTCCGATCCGTGAGGGTGCTTTTTGGTATCGTGATATGATTCTGTTCATGTAATTTTTTAAGACAATAAAAAGAAAAAAAAATCCTCGCAAAAAATAAAACTTATATGGCAATACATGCGTCTCGGACGCTTTCGGGTAAAAATGCACACGTTCAAACAAACTACAACGCACATAAAAAAACACAGACAGCGGTGTTGCAAATTTTAAAAAAAACTGTTTAATTTTAGTCAAATTGTAGTCATAAACATTTATTTTTAATAACAATTACTCTGTCATATTTAGTAATTATGATACATCCTGTGAGTGTAAGCGGTGACAGACAGATAGGTGCGTACGAGGGCACAGAAAATTTCGGAAATTCGGGAAAGCTTGAATTCGGGAAAATGTATTTATTGCTTTTCGAAGTATTCTCCGCGAAATTTGACACATTTTTCCATACGATGGAACCAATCATTGAAGCAACCATTCCATTCGGAAGTTGGGGTCTTCAAAATGGCCGTTTTGTAGGCGTCCACAGCTTCTTCAGGTGATGAAAATCTCTGTCCACGCAATTTATTCTTTATTTTAGGGAAAGTATAGAAATCATTAGGGCTTAAGTCGGGGCTGTACGGCGGATGGTCTAATAATTCTATGTTTTCTTGCTCTAAAAACTCCTTTGTTCCGTGTGCGGTGTGAGAACTCGCATTGTCGTGATGGAGGATGATGCGGCGGTTGCAGTTCTCTTTACGGAGTTCAGAAACGACCTGTGGCAAACAAATGCTAGCATACCATTCTGCATTAACCGTTCTTTGTCCCTCAAGAGGAATAGTTGTAACATGACCGGTTTTGGAGACAAACGTGGCCACCATTTTTTTTGCAACACACCGTGAACGAACAATTTTTGTTGGCTTTAACTCATTTTCGAACACCCAAACTCGTGACTGGTTTTTCGTTCGGGTTCGTACGTGTATATCCAGGATTCGTCACCGGGTACGATATTGTATACAGCTTTGAGGATCCTGCGTGGAATCTTTCGAGAGTTCTGACGCACCAAGTAACGCGAGCCGCTTTTTGCTCTTCACAGAGCGAATGCGGTATCCATCGGGAAAACAACTTTTTTTACACCTAATTATTCATACAAGATTATTTGTATTTGACTCATGCCAATGTCTAAAGTTGCCTGAATTTTGCGGTATGTCACATGTCGATCTTCCTCAATCAGCTTACGCACAGCATCAACGTTTTCTTGGGTGACTGCAGTTTTTGGACGACGGGGATCATCACTGAGCTTGACACGTCCACGTTGAAATTTAGCAAACCAGCGATAAATTGTGGTTTTGGATGGGGCTTCATCTCCAAATGCAGAAATCATCCGGTCAACATACTGTTTTTGTGTTGAACCACTTCGAAAGTCATAATAAATCATCACTCTTGAATTTTCTCGAGTCAATTCCATTTTCTCAACTACTAAACAAGTTTGACAAAACCTTGTGACAAGACCGCGAATCTTTTTTTTAAATAAATAAATGGTATTCGATTTTTAAAACCAAGGAGATTTCAATTAAAAAGATTTAAACATGACAGGAACAGTGGAAATATTCCATTCCCGATACTTTTAGTGCAGCCTAGTAAGAGGTGACAGAGAGAAACTAATACATAAAATAAGCAACAGAATTTTCTCAATACCAACTTTAATACAATAAATCAAAAAACTGCAGTTGCACGCCAAGCGTGGCATTTTTGGCAAATATCCCTACAATCAAAAGTGGACAGCTGTTATCGATGGAAGGATGGTAATGTTTTTAAATTGCGGTACCTAGGGTAAAACTTGATAATACACCCTATTTTTTAATATCTAATTTAAAGGATCACGCAGATGATGTAATCAAACTCTTTAAATTGGGATAATATCTGGTATTTTGACAACTTTGCCTTTTTCACAGCTTATGAGTGTATAAATATCTTTGACTTTTTTGTAGCTATTACTTTATCTGGCTTATAGTTGACCGGTATTCCAGACTCATCCATCTCATATATGTCTATAGGATGATTAGCAAAATATTTTTCTTTAAATTTTGGCTAGCAAATCGAAAAAAAATATACATCGATGCTATTAACTCCGTAAACTCGAGCACGTGACACCTTCCAACTTCTTTTGACTTAATTCTGCATTGCGAGCCATAAATCCAGAAAAGCTTACATTTCCAGCTGATTTCACACTTGATACTGATAACGGATTAATAATATTAACCTTCTTAGCCAAATGAAATTTCATTTACATCTTTTACATGTTATAACCACGCTGCAGATGTAGTAGTATATTTGTAGCACGAATAGGTCTGCTCGGCCGAGGAGGGACCACGCTCTCATAGTATACCAGCGTCAAATAGTAGCGCTGTGTTTCATTTGGTGAGTGTAGAGAACCGGAGACCCTCTTTACTGGAAACGAGGCACTCCATGTCATTTCTCACGGGTGCCAACGCATCTGCATTTTGATTCGTAATCGAGGATAGATGTAGATGTCTATGGGTCACAGCAACCATTTACCACCAGGTAGACTATGTGCTCGATTATCATATAAAAAAAATCTTTTCTGTCACTTTTTCAATTTTTTTAATATAGGCAATCAATTTTTTTTTCATACTCGACTGGTACAACTAGTTTACGTCCAACATCTTTTGATTTTTATAATAAAATATGCTTCCTCAGGGTGCGAGACGGTATTCCAATTTATCTTAATGCCTCATCAACACCCATTTCTTTAATCGGTAGGTACACTACGCTTTGCCCTATCCAATTCGTCTTCACGCCATGACGCTCGTAATTTCGTTCTATAATATTTTCGAGACATTATCCGCAATAAATCGTAACACTATTTAAATTTATTCAGTTAAACTAATTAATATATATTATGTATGTATATATATATATATATATATATATATATATATATATATATAATGTATATTCAACTACTGGCAAGGGCTTATTTTCAAATTCGTTTTCTAAAATGCACCACCTCAGTAGAATCACGAGATTCCAGATTATAACATTAAGCGAATACGTAAACGCAGGTAACATGATCTATTTTACGATATTGCAGGTCATTTTAACACAAAGTATACGATATACAAATATTGACTTACCATAATATACGAATTCAAATGAAACTAATCACAAATTGTCAAGACACAGTTATACTAGGTTTTACACAATTTTCTAACGGACAGCAAGTCATGTGTGTGCGTTTAGCATGTTGTTCTGCCATCGACGGCTACTTGGGCGAATACTTGTGAACTTGTAGCTTTGTTAGTGTGGATGCTAGAGTAGTGAAGCGATTTGTCAAGTGTGGCGTATTACCAAGTTTTACAGTGCCCCTTTTTTGTGCATAGATAATTAGGAATTTCCGATATTTATGCTTTACTTCTTGATCAGTTCATATATGCTCCTGTGATGCACTGACATCGTGGCTACATTCTCGCTCTAAAAGCCTGTTATAGCTTTCTGCTGAACGCCACATTTGGCAAGCGAATTCCAGATTCCTCAAACTTTAACCGTAGCTCTCTTTCGCCTGTTTATATATTAAGGTTCAACAATTTTGTATATGATTATTGCGGCCTTTTGCGGTTATTACAATATTTTTTAAAGTCAACTTCTACGACACCCACAGAAAACAAGTTCAATAACTCAATCACTTTCCATAAAAATAAATCTGGTGGTATTTCGTCTGGATAGACCGATGTTTAGGTAGAAAAAGAGACTTACAACTTAGAAAACTGAGGACCTATTCAAAACGTAAATAAATCCATATTCGGCTTTTATTGTTTGACATTTAAGCTCATAAACACGTACAGATGACTCCACAACATCGATAGCAATATTTATTTAAAACAAAAATATATTTAAAGGCAGCCTCGTTAAATTTTAAAATGATAGAATTATAAATTTTAATTACAATTTTGTTATTAACTTATGTATAATCAAATTCTTTGAACGAGCCTTCTGTTTGTTTGGTTTTGTATTAGTTCAATCATTTTTAAATTTAAACAAGGCTTATAATGCATTGTTTTTAACTAAAGAATCACTATTAAAGAAAATAAAAGTAAAAGAAAAGTTCATTTATGCTTTGAAAATGTAAACGAGCATAATCCAACAATAATGAAATGAGCAAAGGATAATGGAGCGAAAAAGATAACACATTTATTTATAAGTAAACTAAATATTTAATAAAAATAAGGCCAAAAATTAAAGGAAGAGGTGAAAATTGATAACATTTCCTGGTCAAATATGAATGATAGTGATCTTACCTCGATCGAAGGTTGGCACATCTGAAAATA